GGAATGGGACTTGTTTTTGGAAGCCAAATAGCTCGCATGCCTGACAATTAGTTGCATAATTTAAAGTCCAACGAAAGAGAGAGAGAGAGAGCGAGAGAGAGAGAGAGAGAGAATAACAGAAATTGTTTATAACTCGATCGGTCGATTGCGACTGCGACTGCGAACGCGAATGCGAATGCGGAATACAATGAGAATGAATAATTCCCGATGGGCCTGTGGGGGCTATTAAAAAGATGCCAATGTGTGCCCAGCAATCAGCAGTCCACAAAAATGGCCATGATGAATCAGTAAGGAGCTGTCGACTCTGTTGCAAAAGTATATACAATACAAAAATACATTATATAGGCAGGCAACTTCTGCGAAGCCCACACCAAGATACAAAGATACATTTTTAAAATGTTAAATTGATGCAGGCAACTGGTAACTGGAAGCGACGAGGGGGTGGGGGTGGGGAGGAGGCATCTGGAAGAGGGGACAACTCACAGCACTAACCATAAAAAGGTATTTAGCAATTTAGATGCATTCGACGTCGTGTCCGAGACGAACGCAATCTCCAACTGAAGTATGCAAGCGGTTCGCTTTCCAGCTCCTCAAGATGTTTGTTGTTGTTGTTTCCTGAATATCGCACGCTTCGATCTCGGCTGCTGATTGCGCAGCTGGAGGGGATGAGCGCGTGTATGTGTGTGTGTGTGTGTGCCTTGAAAAATGAATTGCTTAGCGCTCGCTCGCCCAAATAGTCCATGGCATAAATTCCGAATGGGAAACGCATCAATCAACGGTTTAAGCGTCTCAGCCTCTGCAAGAGCATGGAATGAACGCACAAAGAGGACGTGCAAAACATAATCACTGAAAGCTCGCAGTTGGAAAGGGACAGAGATGAGCGCCAAACAAAACAATGAAGAGAGCGGCTCTGGAATCAAAGAGCGCGTTTTGCAGACTCGTGACGATATTGCTGGAAAGATTAGAAGGCGCAATGGCAGCCAAAAAATTAAATAAGAAAAGATAACAGCCTAGGCATGAGAGCCCGAGCCCAAGCCGGAGCCTGAGCCTGAGCCTGTGCCCACAATACGTGGAACGGCAAATAAAACAAGTCGAGCCGAGACGAGAACAAATAGGCGAGTCATCGGCATGACCATGGCAAGCGGATTAGCTTACCTGCGCCGGGGCGGGCGGGACGCAGCGGAGTCTGAGCCGCTCCCCTGAGTGCCGGGTTGCCGCAGCCGAAGCCGATGCCGGTGCCAGCTAAAAATTTACGATTTTAGCACAGATTGTAAAGTAAATTTTCCTGTTTTTATTTCGAATTAACAAGCGGGGCCCAGGCAAACAGACGGCGACTGCGAGACAGAGATAGCAACAGCGACCGCCACAGAGAACAAGAAAAACACAGCAACAACAACAACAACTACAACAACGACTATGTCGTGGCTTGTGAAAATAAAAAACGAAAGTTTCATGCATGTTTTTTTTCTCATCTCTTTTTTTTTTTTTTTTGTTCTTTTTTGTGTGATTCTTCTTTAGAATGCGCATTACAGGAAGCCGTGGATCGAACCGGTTGGTTCTTTCAACGCGAATGAGCCGACCCAGGCCGAGCTGAGCTGAGCGGTTACTTAATAATGCAAACAGGTTTCGGACTGGGCTGATCTAAGGATGCGATGCGAGGGATTGCCAAGTAGAAAGGCCAGCGAAGTTATGGATATGAGATGACGAACTAGCTTTTTATCAAGGCGATGACAAAGCGCGATTAGAACGACAACAGGAAATCTGAGAATGTGGGCTGGATTTAATGAGCGAGCGGTTGTTTTAAGAGAGGGTAAGTTTAGAAAAGAGCTGTTTTGGGTTTCTTTTGTTATGCATTTACGAAATATATAACGGTTTAATTCAAGATGCCCTTAAGAGCATCTGTAAAGAGAAATGCATGTACTTGCATACACACATACATACATACATACATGTACGTATTCGTGTCCATTCTGTTGCAGCGCCTAAGCTAATTACCGTTGATTCAATTTGCCCATAGCTTATTTTCTTGGGCAATTTCCTGTTTCTCTTTGCCATACCTTGCGGTCTTCTCGTACCTATTTTCTTTAATTTGAGCAGTTTGGTAATTTAAAATTGGAACCCCCTCTGCTTTACCTGCCCATAATCAACTGTAATGCGGCCGACTCGGCGTTGAGCACGCAAGCAGGCAGTCAGCAAACAACAGCAGCAACAACAACAACGACCCAAACAAAACATATGCTTCAACAACAACAACAATGGCAACTATAATGGGCACGCCAAATTCACAAAGCTTCACACACAGACACATATCCAGACAGTCACACACACAAACACAACACTGACACACCTCCCCATTTTTGTATAGTACTCTGGCGCTCGTAAATTATAGCCGACTTGTGTGCTTGTATTCGTATTTCACGAAACAGCTGATTTGTTATCAACAGCGCTGAATGAGCACACAACAGAGAGAGAGAGACACATACGCAGAACGAACGAGAGAGCACTAAGCTTCAAGTGCTGAATTCTCACGCTCAGCAGCGGCACTAACAACAACAAAAGGTGGAAGAAATAATAATAAAAAAAAACTACAACGACGCCAACGGCGGCTGCTGCTATGGCAACGACCTTCCTTATTTATTACAATGTGTGTAATCGTCTACTGTGTATGTGTGTAGCAGCCAGTATGTGTGTCGTATGTGTGCTTACAGACGACGGCAAAGCTGTTGTTGCTGTTGTTGTTGTTGTTGTTGTTGTCGATGATGCTGCTGAAGACGATGTCGTTGGGCAAGGGGAGGGTGGCAACGGAAGGCGCTGACTTAAATTGCTTAGTTTTTAGTGCAGAAATGTCTGCAACATTTAAGTTTAATGCTGGCTCGTTACTGTTGTTGCCGTTCTGCCGTTGCTGCCGTTGTCGCTTCTTATGCCTCGTTCGCTTTTCTGTGTGTGTTAGAAGGAGAAGGGGTGTAATCTCTTTTGCTGGCAGCTTTTGCACTGAAAATCTTGTGCTCATTGCGCAGTTTCCGTGTGGCTTAGTTTGAATTTTATTTTATGTAGTTGTTGTTGTTCTTTTTTTTTTTTTTTGCAACAGGGCAGCTGTCGTTGTGAGTGTTGATTCTTTTTTGGGGATTTTATTTTAGTGCCGCACCTTTGTACATAATATAGAACAAAAGAGCACAAAGAAAGACGTAAGAGATGACAGAAAATTGCAGTAAAATAGTAAAGCGGAGCCTTGGGCTGACAAGAATTAAGTGATATACATACATACATAAATGGAAAAAGGGAATACGTGCAATATATGTACGAATGTGTGCGTACTGAATTCTCTTGAAGCGATAGATTTTTGTATTTATGTACATGCATGAATGTGACTGCATTTTCAAGAGCTTGTCGCCAGGGCTATTAAAAGGCAGCCAACAAGAGTTTGATGGTAAATGAATGATCAAAGGAGCGCATAAAACCGAAGCTGCGCAGAGGCAGAGGCCATAAAGAAATCATAAAAATTAAAGCAGGGCAACACTTAAAACACACGCTTAAAAGAGCGAGAACGGCAGCAGAGAAATATGATTACAAAATAAAAGGCAGCAGCAGCAGCAGCAGCGACAGCGACGTCGCTCTCTCGCACAACACGAAAGCAGTTGTAAAGATGGCCGCCGTGGCTATTATATAGCTGAATTTGTAAGCGACACCAACACTTTTATACACACACACACACAACACACACACGAACGCAGACCGCACAAGAGAGACAGAATGAGAGAGCAAACATGTGATGCGGCATGTGTTTCAGTTACAGCCACTGAATGCAATTGGCTTAAGCGTTTGCAGCAACGACACAATTCAACGCGCGCGCGTATGTGTGTGTGTGTGTGTGTGTATCAATGTGCGCTGAATACGCGGCGACGTCACGGCCCAGTCGGCAATCAGCTGTGCGGCAGCTCTAATAAAACAGCAGGTAGAACGCTGGCCAGCAAAAAGGGCCACACTGCGAGAGCCAGTCGCTTGAGAGAGCTTGACGCGTGCAGACGACTTTGTAAACGTAACTCGGAAAAATAGCAAGAATTTAACAGCATACATATTGCCATTGAAATAATGTAAATAGCAGCAGTTAAAAAAACAACAACGATATGAAAAGAATTATTTAAAGTGACAGTAAAACGAGCTACATGTGCATGAGTATATGTGTATACAACGTGAACGAACAATTTATAACCAAGCTAAAGCAACAACAAACATCTAACATTTACGGTAGCGTCGCGAAACAGCTGTTAGTGTTCGCTCTCAGTCGCTCTTAATTCAGCAAAACTCTGATGATTCAGCGCTACGCTCTCACTCTCTCTCTCTCTCTGTCTCTCTCTCTGCTCGCTGAACAAAAATTACAAAATAATTGACAACAGTCAAGAGTCCGTTTCATTTCGCTTGCGCTGCTCAACGTAAACGGACGTGCTCGAGCAATTCTTTCTGCCTGTCGATAGCGTATAAAAAACTGTAAACCACACGCGTGTATTTGCATAAAAATTTGTAAAGACTGAACCAATAAAATAAAACAAGCAAAATACAAACTCAATTTGCAGCTAAAATAGTTAAAAAAAAAAAAAAAAAAACACAAGACTGATTAACCAATACAATAAATGCAAAACAATTGAAATACGGGTGCGACAAAGCAACAAAACGAAACCGAAAGCAAATTCCAAAAAACAAAAAAAAGCAAGCAGTAACAACATATGGATTAAGGTTCCTCTTATATATACACACACACACACACACACACTCTCAAACGGATTAACAGCAGCTTTAACTACAGTTAAACGCTGTCTCTCACTTTTTGGATTACCAGTGCCAATAAAATTTGTCAAAGTCAAAGTCAAAGTGCAGTGAAAAAGCTCTAAAACAAAACAAAAATGAAATGCTAAATAAATTAAGAAAAGATTAAACAACAAATAAAGCTTTAAACCTTGTGCAGCAGCAGCAGCAGCAGCAACAACAACAACAACAACTAAAAAATGACGATGGCTGCGTGTTATGCTAATTATGACATGTCCTCCATGTCGTCTCTCTCGCTCTCGCATAGCATGTCAGCAGCTCTGCAGCAGCAGCAGCAGCAGCAACAACAGCTGCAGCAACAACAGCAGCAGCAGCAGCATCATCAACAACAACAACAGCAGCAGCAACAACAGCAACAGCAGCAGCACATGTATCATGCTGCAGTTGCAGCTCATCAGCAACAATTGCTGCAGCAGCAACGCCATCAGCAGCAGCAGCAGCAACAACCACCCGCCAGCAACAACAACAACACACGCCATGCAGCTGCGACGCAGGTTGCAACTGCCGTTAGCCAACGCCAACACAGCAGCAGCGGCGGCGGCGGCGGCGGCAGCGGCAGCGCCAGCACAGCAACAGCTGCCAGCAGCAGCGCCAGCAGCAACAACAACAACAGCAGCAGCAACGGCGTCGGCGGCGGCGGCGGCAGCAGCAGCGCCGCCGTCAGCAGCAACAAGGACTACAGCATTCCACTGCACGTCGACTGCAGCGTCGAGTACGAGCTGCCGAACCAGCCAAAGCCGCCCGCCGGGCAGCGCGTCGAGCCGCTGCTGATGATCCATCCCTGCTATTTCCGCAAAATGGAGTCGCAGCGGCGCAGCCCCTTCGTGAACAACATGCAGGCGACTGCGACGGCGAGCGCACGCAGCGCGGCCAGCAGCGCTGTTAGCAGCGCAGCGGCATTGGGCAGCGGCGCGGCAACAGTTGCAGCAGCGCCTAGCAGCAGCAGCGCAGCTCGTCGCAAAACCCAACTGCAGCAGCAGCAGCAGCAGCAACAACAACAGCAGCAGCAGCAGCAGCAGCGGCAGGCAGCGTATCAGCAGCAGCTGCGGCAGCAACAGCAACAAATGTCACAAATGTCGCAGCAGGCGCTGTATCCAGTGCAGCAGCAGCAGCAGCAGCTGCGGCAACAACAACAACAACAACAACATCGCAACCAAAGTCGTCAAAGCCAAAGCCAAAGCCACGCAGCAGCCAACTCAGTCGCAGCAGTCGCCGCGGCAGCAGCGACGTCGGCATCGGGTCAGTGGGAACAGTTGGCCGCTGCGCTGACGCCACACCAACAGCAACAGCAGCAGCAGCAACAACAACAACAACAACAGCATTCACATGCACACCCACACACTCACTCACACCCACACACACACTCACATGCACACACACACCAACAGCTGCAGCACCCGGCGTCCCTCTATTCTGCAAAAAGCAGCAGCGCAGCCAGCGTCGCCTCTGCCTCTGCCAATGCCGCTGGCAAACGCGATGCATTGATTTCGGGCAGCAGCAGTTACGTCAGCAGCGCTGCCAAACATCAGCATCAGCAGCATCAGCAGCAGCAGCAACAGCAGCAGCAGCAGCACTGCCTGCCACCTCCTGTCGCACCCTGGGATGCGGCGGCAGCGGCGGCGACTGCGCTGCTCATCGACCGTTCCCCGATGGCAACTGTTCCTAGCAATTATCAGGCCGGTCCTGAGGCCACGCCCATGCACCGGCTGCCGCCTACAGCGTCCACTGACAAGCTGAGCGGCAAATATCGCCAATATCTGCGCACGCAGCATCGCATGCATCCCTACGCAGCAGCGGCAGCGGCCGCCTCCCTCGCAGCGGCAGCGGCCGGCGCCAATTTGGGGCCAGCTTCGTTTGTGCCCTTTGGCACGGCGGCGACGTCGGCGACGGCAGCGCCAACATTCCAGCAACTGCAGCAAATCTCCTGCTACAACGTGTGATCCAACAACAACAACAACAACAATAACAGCAAAGGCAGCAACAACAGCAACAACAACAACTACTGAGACAGACGCTTACAAAGTAAACGTCAACGAAGAAGAAAGGAGAAAGAAAAATAACTGCAAATCGCTTTCTGTTTTAGTTAACAAATTTTTTAAATGTTCTGTTATTCCCTTTTGATTTTCTGTACCCTGTTTTACTGTAGGGCTTGCAATGTGCCTGGTGTTAAACATTAAACATGTAAACAAAACAACGGTATTGGCAATAAAAGAGAGAGAGAGAGAGCGAGCAAAAAGGGTGTCGCAGCTAATGCATGTGTGCACATGTACTTATTATGTATGTGTGCTATGTGCCGTTATGAAAGCACGCTAGATGCCCAAAAAAAAAAACCAAAACATAAAGCTCTGTTTTGTGCAGTGTGCGTGAGCTCTTCGAAGGAAGCGGCGGCTTTTGACAGCTCCGCTTGAGACTTGAAAGCAAAATGTAAAATTTCAATTGTGATATGCTAAAAAAAAAAAAAAAAAACGATTTATGTAAAAACAATTCAGCTTTAAAGTTCATCATCTGTTTTTATTGTCAGTAAAGAAAGTGTTTTGTATAAAAAGGCCCAGGCAATTGGAAAGCCGGTAAATATTTAATTATTGATTTATACTTAAATTAGCTGCGAAAGATTGTTGCCAAAAAGCCCAAAAGAGAAAAATAATTGAAATTTACTTGTTTTTTTTTTTTATTACAAAAAGTAAAAGTAATTTGTAGTAATTCGATAAACAAACAACCAACAAACAAAAAAGAAAAAACAAACAAAAAAATGCAAACTATTGTAGTGATATTTGTTATAAAATAATTTTAGTAATTAATTTAATTTAAATTAAACAACAAGGAAACCAACAAAACAAAACAAAACAAACACATTGCGTGTAAACCAACAACAAAAAAACAAAAACAACAACAACAACAACAACAATAATAACAAGTAAATGAAATGCTAAAAACTAAACATATGCTTATTTAATTACTATTGCTATTCACTAAACGAAAATGAAGAAAATATACAAAATCTCTTAAAGGACAGAATTGTTACGAACAAAATTATTATATTTGAAAACAGGTAGAAGCAGAAGAACACACACACACACACACACCACAACACAACATACATTTAAATGCAAATAAAATATATTCCAAATTATGCGAAGTAATTTGAAGCGAAATATGCGACAAAAAAAAAGTAAACGAAAATGTAGCAAATTGTGTTTTCAATGACGAAAGGAAGGCAGACAGAACGACACAGACAAATAGATAAGCATAGAGAGTGAGAGAGAGAGAGAGAGAGTGAACACACTGCAGTTCAATCGATGTAAATACCGTAAGAGAGCGCAGCAACTGTTTTTTTTTTTTTGCCGTCGGTACTTTGTTGGATTATTTTACAGTTAGTCGCCTCTCTTTCTACACATTATTTTTTTTTACTTTTTGTTGTCACTGTGTGAGCTGCTTTAATTTGATTTCTTGCTCGCCTCGTGCTTTGCCTCGGTTTTGGTGTCAGCTTTGCGTCGTAGCCACCCCCCTCGCTGCCCCCCGCGCACCGACATTCGTTTTGATTGATTGTTGTCATTGATGGAAGACTCTTTGGCTTCGCCCCGCACGCACAGTGGTGTGAAGTCAGAGTCTTTAATAATGAGTAAGAGGCCACATAATGGGCCCTCTATGTTGTCGGAGATTACAGGGTGTGCAGGGCATATGATAAAGTAAGAAATCATATCATTTAATTAAATTGAAATAATTTCAAATCTTAATTTCCTATGGCTGATAACTTGACACATTTCCTAACTAAATATAAACGAATTTCGCATTTCGCCAATTTCCTGCTTACAAATTCAAATTTCATAGGAAATCCGGTTGGAAAAAAACATAAGGGTGGTCATTTCTTCAAGTTTTTAATGCATTTCCAAATGCTACGCAACATTTAACCGGAATAAAGCAGCCGTCGGCTTAATTAAACAAAATGTTTCATTTGAAAAAAAAAAGCAAATAAAAAAGAGGCGTTAAGTAGAAAACGACATCCGTTTCCCATTGACCAAAAGTGGACTCGTTAAACCATTTGATTTGTGACTCGTTTAAAGCGAATCCATTCACATGATTCACTTTGGTCTGCCCTAAATCCAAACGAGTCCAAGCCATGTCAAGACTCACGACAAGACAACCATGACAGGAACTGGCCGCGACTGCCTATGTAGACCACATGCGGACTTATCTAAGTCCATTTATAGTAGTTTGTGTGTATGTACTATATTTATGTTATACTATGTAGAAAGCAACGTCAACAAATCTTGTTTATACTAAAAGGAAGAAAAAAAAAAAAAAAACACGGCACACGCGTTCAAAGACAATCGGGGCTCAATTGAGACGGGGTGAAAAACGTTCGTTTTGTATGCTGATTTAGGTCTGAGAAATGATTGCCATCTATTCATTTATTTAATTCATACATATAATAGATTAGAATTCCCTTGCAACATGCCAGTTGGCGGTAATTAAAATTTACTACAATCGTTCAGGGCAAAAATAAATAAATGCGACTCGGACCCAAGTGTTTTTTTTTTTTTGTTTGTAATCAATCGAAAGCACGCCAAAATCAGCTGTTGCCCACTGTTGTTTTCTGGGTCTGTCCATATCCCCCTTCCATTCATTCCCGTTCAATGCGAGTTCATTGTCGTCATATTCTATGCACGCATGCATGCATGATACTTTGTGTATGTGTGCGTGCGTGTGTGTGCTTGAGCTTCAGCTAAATTGGAATGAAACAAAAGCTGCACTTTAAAGAGAGAACTGTTGATTGTATTTTTAAGGCAAATCTTCCGAGAGATAATGGGCCTGTTCTTCAAGTACGGTACTTGAAAGCTCAAGTGTTCGTTTATTTTATTTTATTTATATTTTTATTTTAAATAGAAATGAGCTCAGTGCTCAAGTGTCTGCGTTGCCAAAGAGTTTTTGTCTGTGTGTGTTTGTGTGTGCGATGGAAAGGGGAGGGGGGGGGGGGTCCTAAAAAGTAATTAATCACTAGGTGGAAGGTGTAGTTCGTATGCAGAACAATAGATTGGGCTTTTCATTTTTATTTATTTATTTAGATGCATAAAAGTTTTTGTACGCGTTTGCTTGGCCTTTGGATTTTGAATTTATTACGGCATATCCCCCCTCCCCCTCCCCCTCCCAATCCCTAAAGGTGCCATTTAAAAGTCATCAACAGAGATAAATAAAGCTAATAATGGGCCAACGAAATACGCATAAAAATTGAAACAAAACAAAAGCATGCAAATAAAACGGCACCCAAAGCTCGCACATAAAATCAAATTAAGCACACACATACACACACACACGCACGCACGCAGTGATGATTAGTTATTTTTAAATTTAAGCTGAAAATGCAAACAGAAAAAACGCACGAAAATTGTTTTAAATGAAATGACGCAAGGCGCATTAAGCAAAGTCCAGAAACAAATATCAAGTCACAAAAAAAAAATAAAACAAAAACAAAATGCGATAAAAACTGAAGTAGAGCGCAAAATGAAAAGCAAAGACAGAAATGCGACAATGACAACGGCGACGGCGACGGCGACGGCGACGGCGACGTCGACGCTGACAGCGGAAGCTGTCTAACAAACGATGACTGTCGGTGTGCGTGTGTGTGAGTGTGGTGTCTGTGGGTGCGGCAGGTGGCGAGGGCGAGGGCGGGCTAGCATGGTCATTACAGTTACGCCTTGCATTGAGGCTGGTCATAAAGCCCATGCTTACGAGCAGAACACGGCAGAGCAGAGCAGAGCGACAAGGACAGAGATAGACTGCGAGGCGAGTGCGACGAGACCCACGCCCAGACGCCGCCTGGGCAACCAGTTTACGTTTGTTTTTGTTTTTGTTTGGCTCACTCATTCATTCATTTTCCGTCTTTTTTTTTTCTTTCTTCTTTTGGAGCAGCACTTTTGCAAGTGGCTGCTTTTGGGGTCAGGCTAATACAAGCGCTTTATAATTCGCGACTTAATTAAAACATTTGCCCGCTCCGAAACACATTTAAATGTTTAAAACATTCATTTTCTATGCGTTTCGCCGAAGTTTGTAATCATTTATATATATATACATATATATATATATACATTTTTTATAATAGCCTTTGAATTCTGTGCGTTTCAGTATTAATTAAAGTCGTAAATTAAGTACCGCATTGACAATTAAATATGTATTTATGCCAAATGCAATGAATTTGTTGTTTTTTGCTACTTTTTTTAGTGTTTTTTTTTTTTTAATAATCAGCAAGCGACAATTTTAATAGGCTTTAATTAAATTGTTAAGCAAAGCACATAACGAAGAGAATACAATTTAGCGTTAGTCGCTGTAACTAATTAACATAATTTGTAAGCGCGACTGGGCTGGGAGAAATGCGTAGCGCAGCTTAAAACGGCTTCAAATAAATTATGAAAAAAATATGTATTGTTAATTAAAATAGCGACTAATACGGACGCGCCGAATTAAGATGGGCACACATTTGAAATTCCATATTCAAGCCAAGCCCCAAAAATTTGTATAAAATAGAAATTTGTATTGTTTTCGAATATGACTCAGAGCCGATGACAAAACTGTTTGAGAAATGGAGCCACCCAATACAAGATTTAATTGAATTTCGAAATGGCCAATTAACCTCAAATTGCGACATTTAGCTTGAACTAAAAAAACCCTGAAAATATTTAAAAATATATATATTATGTAGAGCTGCACTTTTGGCTGGCCCAAAAGTTGAGAAAAAACACGAGAAAAAATTAACAACACTTGTACAAAATATTATTCATACTTGGCAGCTCAGCCAAGCCAAAGTCAAATCACTTAAGCTGCCCCACAACACAGAAAGAGAGAGCGCGAGAGAGAGGGTGAGACAGAGGGGGAGAGGGAAGGCCAACACGCTTTCGAAAAGGCCTACGAATAAAACTTGAACTACAAACTTTACACTTGACAACAAGCGAATATAAAAAAAAAATGAAAAAAAAAACCAACGTGTAAAACTAGTTAGCAAAAAAACAAAAACAAAAACAAAAACAAAAAACAATTAAAAAGCATTAACGCTTAGCACTGCCTAAGTGCAGTTGGGGTATACTAATATGCAGATACAGATACAAATGCAGATGCAGCTGCAGCTGCAGATACAGATACAGATACATATAGATAGAAGATATGTAAGTAGCATTCGAGCAGAACAACATTTGAAAAACAAACTAAATTATATGGCAGCCAAAATGTTTGGGCCTAATGTCAGGCAGTATATATACATATACACATACATATATACAGATATACAGATATATATATATAGTACATGATATATAGTTATCGAAAGCCGCACGCAAATTATACAAATTATTGTTGTATTTGTTTCATTTATTTGTGGTTTAGGTTATCGAAAAACCACTTAACTGGCACGAATCAACATTTAAACAGTTATAGAGCCAATATAAACATAATTAAAGTCTACATACATGATAATTGATACCATAAACTACAAATTAGCCAACCATATTGTGACTTACAACAACAACAACTACAACAACAACAACAACAACATAATAATAAATGTATCTATATAGACGACGATATAATGCAACTAACTATATAGTATTTAGTATCTAGACTACATACCAACCACGCCTATGCCGAGTTATTAAAGAAAAAATGTGAAAAAATAAGTAAAACCCTAAAACACAGAAAACGCAATACTAGAGAAAGCATGGAGCAAACCTTATACTTAAACTAACTAGGCCATCAACAAATTATAGTCTATACCTAAAGATATATATATATATATATATACCTATATATATATATGTAGATCGGCGGTAAGGGCGTGGCGTGGCATGCCCAAGCCCCGATTACTTATGAATATAAAATAAAAAGAACAACAACAAAACAACCACAGCCACAATTTAAGCGCTGAATTAACGAAAACCTATTCAGCGTAAAAAATGCAAAATATTATTAAAAATAACATTTAATTAAAGCCATGTATGCACAAATATATATACATATGCATATATAATATATATATATACAAATTATTATGAATTTCCGCTGTGAACAAAATTAATGTTTAAATAGGCATTAATTTCAATCTCTTTTTTTTCTGGTCGTTTATAAATATGACAAATAAAACTAGAAAATGTGCTAAATGAAAATTGCAATTTCATAGATTTATTTTTCTGAGACAG